AGTGCTCTGGAGAACCCCTGAGAAAAACTAAATAAAGTGGCGGTTTTTCGTCACATTTTTCTTGGTTGGCCAGCGCGTACAATGTCTCAGGACTGGTTAGCGTTGTTCCGGCGGAAATTCTGGTATGTCTCGGACCAACCGAGACAACGCTTATTTCGAGCAGCTGACTACGAATCTCATATATGAGCCATCTCCATTATCTCCTAAGTAAGCAGTTGTTCAAGTAAGACTAAGCTTTATGTGTGAATTTCACGTAAAATGCGTGAAGGCTTTCCACAACCACAGGTACTCGCCAATGCAGTTGAGCAAACAAATCAATGTTTAACACCTCCTTAAGGTGGTCAAAAGGTTATCCGCACACTTAGCTCTTCGCATGTCCAGCGGAAAGTACTTTTCATGGGTCGCTTTCAATAAGCATTAAAATGCTAGGATCAACGCTGAAACAAAAAAAGTTTTTCAATCGCTCCGTCAGGACCATGTCACTGAAAATGATCTAAAATCTGGCCCTGCTGCCCATTGACTTTGAACCTGGTGACTCCAATTTCGCGCACCAGTGATGCTTTTTTCGGCTACCATGAATGCATCCATCGACTATCACGAGCCTTAGGTCAAGCGCATTTAGATATTGTGCAGCAATTCTGCCATTTACTCCCTATCCTTAAGGTTAAGTAAGGGAATGTTCCCCCTATCTTTCTACACACTCTTGACCTTTGACCTTTGACGCTTTGACCCCCAGCTTCGACACATCCCACTCGTCTTGGGCGATTTACCCCACCACGTCCGTAGAATATGCGTGACCCGTGACGTAGCCCGTTCAGATTTGTGCCCAACTGTTGACGGCGCACGCCAGCGGAACGCACGCCGCACGCTTCATGCGTTCCTACAAGCTGCAATCTGATATGTTCAGATGAGCTAAAAAGCAGCTTGATGCATTTTGTGTGAGATCTAGCATCAATGGGTCTACATGTCAGAGGTGTAACATCACTCAATATGCAGATGTAATTTTTGCATCTAGATTCGCGCAGCATGCAAATAAGTAGGGCTACGTGTTCTGTACAAATGCTAGGTTCCTCATATGATTTCTATTTGCAGCTTTCAGCGGCTGATGTATCGAAGTGACTCTTCGCAGCAGATTGTAATACGACAGTGTATTATAAATGACCATTCATGTATAGAGTTTTCGCTGTGTTAATCTCCCATGCTGGGTAGTAAGAACTGTCCACTAGCACATATAATACTGGACCAGCAAACCATAGGGCAGTAAAATAACTATGCCCTAGGCATACTTATCCTATCACTTATGCTATTATCTAATTATATACTAGCAGAAAGTATACCCGTAAGCAGCAATGTTGTCTTTAAATATAACACTACCATGTAGTGGACACAGATAAAGTTAAAATATTTCATGTCTGAAGAAACGTCTGGCACTGGCGTACAAACAAACACTGGCCACAGCTACTGGCCACTGACTACATGTGTACAGTACGGTGTACCGTCAAGCAGAGTGAGCAGGGGCGAATGCTGCAGTAGGGGGGGGGGGATCTGAGACGTAGCACCATCTATTGAGGAAAGGTAGATTTTGTTTAGAGCCACGAACCCATCTCCCAGAAACGTGGTGATTCTGAATATGCTCATACGGGCGGAGTCAGAGACGGCAGTGTAATTCCACGTATGTGAAGTGGATCTGTGTAGCACCTGCCATCTATTGACGAATAGCCATTTTTTTAAATTTTTTGACTTAATACTTAACTTAACTTATTTTAATTTTTTTTAAGCCAGAACGCATCTCCCAGACGTGGTGATTCTGAATATATCTTAGTTAGGCACGATTGAGTGACTAACAATCAGGCGGAAAAGGAGGAAAAACAAAACACACAGAGAGATTAGCACAAATTATAGGTTAGATAATTATGAAGATTGTTGCAGCCGAAATTACGTGTCGTAACTCGCAATAAACTAGCAGAACTCCGCCAGCCTAGAGGAAAACTAAGATATTGTTCAGAAATCAGCCGTCTAGGCAGGTGGTTCTGGCTAAACAAAAATTAATAAAAGTTAAAGTTAAAAATTCATAAAAAATTCTATTCATGCAAATAAGATTGCAAGTGCAATACAGATTAACATCACGTACGTGTGAATAGCCATGGGTTATAGGAAGGTTGTAGCAAAACAAGTAAGCCTCTGCAAATTATGTCCACCGTTTCACATATTTCGGCCTCTAAGTAATGCCTTTTTTCACATTTTTTTTTCGCAGGAAATTTTGGCAGCTAAGAGTGCAATAATTTGGCAATTATGCAGTTAAAATTAGGTCGTATTATGTATCGTACATATTCCGTCAGGTGGCGTAGCCACAGCGAGCGATGTTGCGTCATATTTTTGTTGTTTGAAATGTGTCAGAACGTTTGTAGAAATTCGCATCATAGAGCTGGCAAAAGTTTTCGAGCGGAGCATAGAGGATCTGTAGTTATTTAACATGAATAAAATGTATGTTGTGTAAGCGCAGTAACAGTGTGAGTATTTTTAATTAATTTCTGTTCGATGCTTATTCAGGCCTGCCGCCTATTGATGCCCTCTACTGTGTTCAACACCTATAACCTTAACGGTGCAGTGGCCTAATCATATAACAGCATGTACGAATGGTTGCACTTTTCATTTCAAAAGCCTCTTGATAAACAATGATTTTCGTCTTATTCTCTTGGTGCAAATATGTAGAGATTCCTGGCGTCTCCCACTGTTGAGCTCCCCATGTACAGCTGTCCGTGGGAGAAGCAGACTATCCGATGTGCAGACGCGACGACAGACAGCTGTCGCCGGAGCTTTGTTAGATGCTCATGGGAAGTTTAGTTTGATGGGGAATTGTATTATGTGTGAGGACTTTAAAGTGACATGGATGACTTTGGAGGCCATACCCACACGTTAGTCATTACTGGCTCAAGATGTGCCAAGTGCCTGTAGAGATTTTCTCGTACGGCTTAGTAATTCAGGACAACACATCAAGACACGACCACTGAAAAGCAGTACATCAATCGCGTCAACAGCACAGGCAATATATGCCACGCAAAAGAACGAGAAGAAGAAATCATTGTTGAGCGCAGATGACACAGATGTGTACGTTCTGTCGTGTACCATTACCTCGATAGAGGCTTAACATTCCTATGATAATGCAGTCACCAAAAAAAAGGCGGCTGTTGTGGATATTAGTGCATCAGTGATAAAGTTTCCAGTATCATTCCGACATGTTACCAGCCCATGCCCTGACAGGTTGCCAACACTGTTCCCATGTGCCACGGGATCGGAAAGGGGCAAGATGTGAAAACTCTTCGAGAAGGGAAATGCAGCCTTTGAGCCATCTTACTCTGTGATATCAATAGACAATACATAAATCATAATTATCACCCCATGAATGGTGAATATTTAGGCTTTGAGTGACTATAAACTCACACACTCAGACACAGCCCCATTGGCATTGAGGATCAGGGATAGTTTTGGACCCCCGCAATATGTTTTCGCATATGGCATGATATACGTGCTTAACAAATACTAATCTGGGGTGCTAAACAGTAAACAATGTCAGTAAACTAGGCTTGGGCAGGTAAAAATTATTGCCCCCCGGCTATTCACACCTGTGACCTCTTCCGTTCCCTCTGTAAAGACTTCTTTGGTCAAATTTGTCAACTGTCCACCAATGGAAGACAAACTATTTCCCAACCATGACGACATTTTACAAGACTTCTCCTCCCTTTCATCCGTACACTACGTATATCTAACAAGCAATATGCAGTTTCACTTCTCGATCATGAACTTTGCCAACACGGCGACTCCATATTGTTGACAAACTGTATAGGAGTGTCGCAAAAATATGATGTGCAGGTTCTTAGCGTGAGCCACTCAATGCGCATGCGCAAGCAGCCGGCGTTTACATGCGTTTAATTTATAGAGGGTACCGCGACTTGCACTAAAAGTAGCAATATTACCTACAATCCCGTGACGCCGGCCATACTGGTAGTCAGAATTGCGAACACGTGTTACCGATATGCGCAATCTAGCGATTTTACATCGATCGATTGTAGGCCTACATACGATAGTGTTATAGTAATCTATATTAGCAGTAAGTGGATCCCGGTTTTGCAGAGAGGTTTACCAGCGCGTGGTGGGGTGCTAGAGTGCGATATGATTGTGCAGACCCGGTTTTACAGGGTGTTACAGGCAGGTTCATCAGCGTGGGTTGGGGTGCTCTGCTAGAGTTCAATGAGATTACACAGGTCCGGTTTTGCAGGGCTTTGCATGCAAGGTTTATTAGCGTCGCGAGATTGCACGCAACACATATATGTTCATGGACTTGAGTTTGTTTACATCGCGAGTGTTCAGAAATTTCACCGATTTTACTGCATATATGTCATATATCAATATGCTATCAAACGCAGCGTTTTATTACATCTGACTGGTGTATGCACATTTGCCAACTGTCTGAAGTGTACGTAGTATGGACAAGTACTTTGATTCACTAGACAACGTAGCCAAATCACACTATCTCGAGAAAATTGCGTGCATTGGAAATCGACACCCGTACGAGAATGGAGCGAGGACCACAACTTGTGCCAATCACGTACTTATTTGGATCTCGTAAATTGACTACCTAACATTCTAGCCGAGACCATTTTATACTGTCAATTCTGGAACCGTCATGGCCGGCGGCGTTGCATTGTAAGTAATTTGAAAAATCGCGGAACCTTCTATACGCGGAGAAGACGCAAAGTTCTACACCGATCAGAAGTGCTCGGACTTCTGACTTCTGTATACAGTCAATGTGCTAGGAAGTTACCAGTCCGACAAAGCTTCCACTAGAAAAGAATTCCTAGCACGTCGAAATTGTAGGAATAGAGATGGTTGGAATTACGTTGCTATCTATATCATAATGTATGATTGAACCTGATTATTGAATCTGATGCGCAATAAGCGGGCGTGCACGTGTCCATAAACTCTTCACAGTTCACATAGAGTGTAAAGCCGTAGGCCTCTTCTTGAACAGAGAGGCTGGACCATAGAAATATACAGAGACAATTATAGTCTGTCTATATTATCAGGAGCTTGAATAAATGGAGCTATATTATCCATTTATATAAGCTCCTGATATTATTTCTATGGTCTGGACACAAACAGGACGATAACAATGGACAGGGGTAACGCACAAGGAGGGTCGCACAGAGGGCTACAATCCCCTCGTAAAAAATATCACGCAGTAATTATAACTCGTCGGGTGAATGATTTATTATGAAAAATTTTGTTTTTTTATTTACGCTGTTTTCAGTACATGTATTTGTATTTGATTTATGTGCAATAAAGTAAATATGTATTTATATAATTTGTATAATTACATTTTATAATTACATTTATATTTTATACAATATGCATTTAAAAAGTATGTACCAGGAGTTAATGAGACAAAGTAATATGTAATATCAGAAGTAGATAATAGGGAGTTAATAGGTTATACTGGTAATATATATGTAAACTCGGAGAGTGTCTCACTGTGAAAACTTTACTTAATTAATGAATTAATTAAATAATTAATTGGATCCGGATCATGACCAAAATGTAATCAATTCTAAGTTACCCCATTTCTAACCTGACCTGAAAATTTAATTAATTAATTAATCAATTAATTAATTGGATCCGGATCACCACCAAAATCTAATCAATTCTAAGCCCATTTCTGACCTATCCTGAAAATTTTATGACAATCCGTCCATAACTTTTTCAGTTAGGCTGTACACAAACAAAGAAACGCACAAACCCACAAACACACGCCGGTGAAAACATGCTGCCAACCCCTTGGCGGAGGTAATAATGAAACAAATCGACAGCAGCTGCTGCTCTTCTTCATATGTTGAGCAGGGTAGCTAATTTAGGTTATATAATTTGCGCCCATCATAAAAAGTTTCATGGCTTCAATCACCATTAGAGAATATTTTTTTAAATTCCATGTTTTAAAACTAACGACTACAGTTTTGATTACAACGACGGTGGCGCACTACAAGCGCACGATCTTGAGAAGTTGGCGCAAAACCACTTTTCCAGCCAAGCGGCTATACAGACCGAGGCGATTTCTATTTATTCATTTAAGAAGCAAAATGGATTGTAATCTCTTATAAACGACATATAGGTTTCATTATAATATGGATAAATTTGCTCTAAAACGAATATCGTTCGGATTAAATAGCATTAGTAGGTATAAATATAATTGCCCAACTTTTATGATTAGCCCTCGGTCATTTACATGCCAAAATAAAAAATGCAAATACGCAAACTTTTTCAGGGTGGAGCCGGTCCGCGGTGTCATGGCGGCTGTTCAAATTTTCCGTAGCTTGATGCTGTAAATAATAATTAAGTATTCCTGGTGACAAATCAATGTGGACTATAGGCGATTTGTTGATACAGTAAGTTACAGTTGTTATGCCGTAAAATCCTAGAGGTACTGTCGCCTTTAATTGCTTAGCGAAGTTAAATTTAGCCAACACGAGCATATATTAGGTCATACGGCTAGAACTAGATATACCATATGGTTATATAGGCCCCATTGTTCTCATGTGCTAGCATGAGCATGTGGTCCTCCCTGTATGTCCAGTCAGGCGGTAACAGTCAAATAAAAGCGTTCCAGCGCGTACAGTCAATCAAAAGTATTTTTTTATAATTAAATATTAAAATGTAAGAGGCAAATAGCTTGTCGCAGCAGCTTGCAAAATATAAATCCCAATGCTGCCTCTACAATAATGATAGGTTCATAGAAATCGCAGCCCAAAACAACATATGTAGGAACGCATTACTTGGACTTCAATGCGATTCCTCTGGATAGGGCCCTTATCGCTAATTAGATTTAAAGGGACAGTGAGCTCGTAGGATTTTACTATCACAACAACGTGTACTTACTGTAATAACACAACTCGTCTTACCCACACGTATTTGTTACCAGATACCTAATTTAATTGTTATAATTAATTAACATGGCCATCACGCTACAAATTTGACGGCGCCATAACACCCGCGACGTCGGCTGGGCCACCGCCGAAAAAGGTTGCGTATTTGCACATTTATTTTGCCACGTTAGCAGACGAGGCAGCTAATCACAAAAGTGCCAATTTACTATTTATACCTAAAAATGCTATTTAACCGAACGAACGATATTCATTTTAGGGCAAATTTATCATATTATAACTTGAAACTATATGTCGTCTTATAGAGATATTACAATCTCTTTTGCCTTTTAATGAATAAATAGAAACACCGCTCGGGCTGTATAGCCCTTTTGGCCTGGGAAGTGGTTTTTGGCGCAACTTATCAGACTGCTGCGGTGAGTGGCGCCACGTCGTTATAATCAAAAACTGTAGTGTTAGTTTTAAAAGCATAAAAAAAAATATTTCTAATGGTGGATTGAACCATGAAACTTTCTTATGTAGTCGTAATTTAACCTAAATTACTTGAAAGATAGCGCCTAGGAACCTAAGTAAAACTCTCCCTTAAATCAGCCCGTATATGGTGATCCTGGTGATATATGTATGTTACATAAAATGACGCATTACCAATCAAATATTATATTACGCATTATTATTAGCAAATCGCATTACGAATTAAATCATACTTTAAAAATTGATACCAAATGGCTCACGCAGTAGCTTGATACGATAAAATTAAATATAATATAATATAACATAATATAATATATATAGTATGATGAAACAAGTGCTAGTGTACATTGCGTGTATGCGTTACGAGCGCGTGTTCTAGAATGGCATCATAAACTACAGACCCGATTATAAGCATGCGCGGTAATTATGCCGATGATTGTGTAAGAATAAAGAATTTATAATTACTCTCCTATTCTATAATTGGGACAGCGTCTGGCTAAGCCACCCGTTACCCTACGGTTGATATGACCCGGGGTAACACATGTAGGGAGTAGCAATACGTTTTGGAATATTTACAAACGTGTAAATAAAAAGGTTATAGGCGAAAAAATGAAGGAGACGATGTGGGTTTACGTGGGGCGCGTGTAAATGAATGTTCCTCGAAAAACGTTAAAGCGTGACAAGCGATTAGTTTTGGCGCTTCGCCGCGTTATGGCGGATGGAATAGAAGGGCCACCGTTTGCATTCATCACCACACCTGACTCTATCTGCCTAAGCATCGTTTAAGTATCAGGAAAATTGTCGTGTTTTTATCGTCAATTTCAGGGTGCAACGTTGCACGCGACTTGACAACACTCTCGCGAGCGCGTGCGTACATGCGTTGCGACCCGCAGAAAAAATTTGTATACGGGGCTTTGTGCTAGTTTTGCGTGAGCTGTATCTAGGCTTGTGCCTACAGTAAATTTGCCTATACAAGTTTTATCAAGTAGTTTATCACACGTTTGCGCTCTGACACCGAAAGGGAGATGCATTTCCTGTGAAGTTGACACCGTAAACATGTTTGCGCTAGAAGGGATTAGATGGATGGATGGCTTTAATCAGAATCTTAGATGATAAGGCTGGTTTAACCGATACTATGCGACGTTAAAATAAGAGTTCCTGCATATACTTTAATGCACTCAGATGACTCACGCACTGAGAATTAGTTGGCATCGGGTATCGCTCCACGTGTATATCGTATCAGGACAACTTAACCCGCATGCAATTCATCCCCTGGACATTTACCCGCCCCGGCCAATTACCACCCACATGCGCATTCACCCCCGCGCATTTACCGCCCGGACATTTATACCCCCGGACAAGTTACCCCCCGGAACATTTACTCACTTTGGGTGTATTATTATTCAATTGTTGAACAGTGCATACAGGCAGGAGGTCGAGGAGGAAGGGTGGGGAGGACGGAGGGGAAGAAGGTGGGGCTGAGAAGTGGTGGAGGAGGAGAGGAGCAGGAGCTGGAGGAGGGGGAGAACGTGGTGGAGGATGCAGGGGGGGAGGTGAGGTAGGTAGGAGGGGGGACGAAGTGGACAGAAGAGGAGTGAGGGAGGCAAGGAGAGGAGGTGCGTGGACGAGGAAAGAGGAGGCATGGAGAACGTGGGAGGTGGTGGAGGGGGGAGAAGTGGAGGAGGATGGAAGGGCGGAGAAGCGTGGAGGCAGGAGCAGGAGGTGGACGAAGGAGAAGGTAGAGATGAACGGGAAAAGGTGTGGAGGGGTGTGGAGGAGAAGAAGACGAGGAGAGGAGGTGGAGAGGAGCAAGAGGAGGTGGAGGAGGTACGAGTAAGGGAGGAGGTAGTGGAGGGCCAAGGTGGTGGAGGGTGAGGTGGTGGTCGAGGAGGAGCGCAGAGGCAGAGAGGAGAGTGGAAGAGGTGGAGGGAGAAGAGGGGATGAAGGAGGAGGGAGAACGTGGGGAGGAGGAGGGGGAGTGTATGAAGGTAGAGGAGGTAGAGCGCCCCTCCTCTACCTCCTCCTCCCCCACCTCCTCTCCTCTCCTCCTCCTCACTCCTCTCCTCCTCCTCCTCCACTCCTACTCCTTCCCCTCCCTCTTCCTCCTCCTCCATCTCCTTTCCGTCTACCTACCACGCTTCTCCCCTCCTCCACCACATGGCCTCCCTACCTCCTCCACTTCCTCTCTCTTCTCCTTCTCCCCCGCCCCACCTTTCTTCCTTCCTGCCTCTACCTTCTCCTTGCCTCCTCTAACTCCTCCTCTCCTCCTCGCCTCCTCCACCTTCTCCCCCTCTTCCTCCCCTCCACCTTCTCCCCCCTCGCTCGCCTCCATCACCTTCTCCCACGTCCTCCCCATCCTTCCTACTCCTCCTCCCCCTCCTCCACGCATTCTCCCCTCCTCCTCCCACCTTCTCCCCCTCATCCTCCCCACGCTTCTCCCCTCCCTCCTCTCTCCTTCCTCCTCCTCCTCTCCTCTCCCTCCACCACCTCCCCACCCTTCTCCCCCTCCTCCTCCACCACCTTGCTTCCTCCCCTCGACCTCCTGCCTGTATCACTGTTCAACAATGAATAATAAACACCAAGTGAGTAAATGTCCGGAGGTAATTGATCCGAGGTGCGAAATGTCCGCAGGCTAATTGCTCCGCGGGGGGTAATTTTCGGGTAACATGTCCGGGGGGGTAATTGTCGAGGCGCTGTAAATGCGCATGGAGGGTCAATTGTCCGGGCAGC